GAATTTTTACGGGAAGCCGCCTATCCACAATGGCACAATTCATCTACGCATCGCATCCGCCACTACCCGGCATGCAAAGGTTGTCGGAGACGAGACTTCCTGAAAAATCTACAGAGAGATTACCATTGCCTTCTTCTCCAATGGAAACAAAACCAGCTATAAACTGTGGGCAAGACTCGCCCACTACAAATGACTACTACACTACGCCCACTACAAATTACGTCCTTTCTATGCCACCCATGGCTTCCTGACATTCAGTCTGAACCAGCTTCCTCGCCGTCTACTCTACCGGCTTCCCCCTATGGATTATCCACGGGAAGCTGCCTATCCACAATGGCTCCAAGTGAGATTACCCTATGTGAGATTGTCAGAATAAAAAATAATTTATTTCTGTAGGCAAGAATCTTATCGGTAGATACCAACTTAATTCACATTTAGGGTTTGCTCAAGCTACGACGAACATGGTGGGGAGGACAAAAACTTGAACGTTTTTGGCAAAAAAGAAGACAATTTTCATTCATAATAGCTTTCTTTGGAGTATTTATACAAGCATATTGGAATACTAAAACAAGCATTGCTTTCAGGAAAAATAAATACATTTTGATGTCATTCTATTTTTACATTGAATTGGCATTTACTGATTCCATTATCGACATTCGAATAACTCTTGAAAGTTTCAAAAAAGTGATGACACAAAAGAGAAAAAGATGTAATCAAAGATTCTAAAAACCAAAGCCAAGCACTTTGGTTGGTTATCAAACACAGAAACCATATGATGAAAAATAGAAAAATATTAATTTTAAAATAGAATTTTTGGATTTTTTTTTATTTACTTATTTAAACCGGATAAAAGCCTCACTGCTCGTAATCACAGTCTTAAAGCGAAAAGTAAAATCTATTAGCCTTTAAACCCCTTTTTGGTCCCTGGCTCTCGTTCTTCCCAAATCCAAGCGTTCTAATTAAATCTCGCGCTCTAGGGCAATATCCGTCAATGCCAATGGCTTCATGGTAGTAAAAAGGCATCCTAATGTGTTATTTGTTCGAAAACCATCAACAATGCGCCAACAACAAAGTTCGGGGATGCCTTAAAATTATTTCATTGAAAAGTCATGTATTAAAGGTCATCCCCTGGCTTGGCCAATCTAAAACTCTTGCCCGTTTTTAGCAAACAAGAGGGCCTTAATTTTCTGGAAAAGTTAAATGCACCTAAAATGCTATGAAGTAAGCAAGAAAAAGAAGGAACTGGAGATTAGGCAAAAATACTGTTGGGGAAAACATGTGATTTTTGCCTTACTGCAAGCACCAAAGGTAGTGATTATTCATAATAATTTAAAGATCTAAATCCAGTGTTATAGATGCGTCTAAAACATTCTAATTAACTCTAATTAACTGTCTCGACTCTCACGTTCTTGGATTTTTAGAAACTTAAAAACGAACGTCGATTCTGATCCGAGGAGGGGCGGCCAAAGTCGGATATAAGGGTAAACAAATAGCGATGGTGGTATTTCCCAATTTTTCGCTCCCAAAGCGAAAGGAGCGATGAGACCAAAGCCCATTTTGGCGACCAAATTTTTGGAATCAGGAACATTAAAATTTTGCAAATCGCCTACACCTTTACTACTGTATATGTAGGATAGAAGCAATAGAAAACAGCAATAGAACAAACTGTAGATGTTCAATCCTTTTTGAGGAGTGAGGGCAATAGGGAAAGGGGACTCACTTCAGAGAAGTACTGAGTTTTTTCTTTTCTGGAATGGAATCATCCATCAATCAATGTAGTGGGCGTAAGAGCGCCTAATGACATTTTCCTAAATATTAACATCAACTTGGCTGCTAGGCTATAGCAATGCTATCTTCCACAACTTGGATCAGGTACTAAGAAGAATTTACTTTTGTCTCGTTTGAGTCCCTATTTATTTCCTACACTCTTTCAAAGCTGCCTGAAAGCTCTTTCAAAGTCTTGTTCACAGTTGACATCTAGCGTCTATTGCTAAGGACCGGTCTGCGTGTAAAGAAATATTATGTGCGCGCTTGGTACTCTTCACTCAAGACACGCTGTTTCTTCTTCATCTTCTCTAAAAAGATTTGTGAAATGTTTTTTTGGATCTTTTGACTTCCAGGGGGTCTGCCCCACGTTCTAGTTGGCTGTCATCAACCACCACTCTAAAGTCTCCGAAAAATCTGCTTATAAACTCAAGGGATATTTTTAAAACCCCATACAAAACTTTGGATACTCATAATCAAGCTCCTCTATCAACTTATTTAGTTCCTATCCGGCTCCTTGAAAGCTCCGTGAAAGCTCGTTTATCGTCCAAATTTAGTTTCTATAAAACTCCTTGAAAGCTCCGTGAAAGCTCGTTTATCGTGCATATTTAGTTTCTATAAAACTCCTTGAAAGCTCCTTTATAGTCCTTATTTAGCTCCCATAAAGCCCCTTTAAAGCTGCTTAAAGCTAGAAACATAGAAAGATAGAAATATATAGAAAGATGGCAAGATATAAAGATATAGAAAGATAGAAAGATAGAAAGATAGAAAGATATACGAAGATAAAAAGATAAAATAAAAAGGTAGAAGATATAGAAAGAAAAAGATAGAAAGAAACTTTCAAGTCCTCCAAGCGGTCCAAGCGGAAAAATATAGAAAGATAGAGAGATATAAAAAGATAGAAAGATATAAAGATAGAAAGATAGAAATGCATATCCGATTCGATCTTTTACAGAACATGTTGGGTTCAAATATTCGAGCTTGCGGCTAAAATTGAAATTCATGAAGAATTATTGAGAATCACTGACCGCTTTCCAATGAAAGCGTTTGCATTTGGAGAGATATGTTCTTCCAAACGAAGCTTTTCAGCGAAATCGATCCCGAGAAATGAGAGAAGAGAGTTTTGAGCCATGCCTGAGTTGCCCAAATGTGTATTCTTGGTGTGATTCTTTTAGAGTTTTCGACCAAATCAATTTCGATTTCACTTCACGGTAATGGTATCTGGAATGTTCGGAAAGTTTTATCTGTTTAAATTAAAGGGTTATTAAAATTATAATTATAAGAGTTGACTGAAACTGCCATTGCTTATTTTTCAAGATTATCTTTCAAGCAGATTAGCAAAAAATCGTCTGCAGAAGTTTCGAATCTTTTCTAACTAATCTGAAATTTTAATTTGATGTCTTCTGCTTAATATTTAATCTTTTCTAAGAATAAGCAAGTTTTAGAGAAAGAGTTCAAAGTACTATTTAAAATGGACAAAACAAGATAAGATCGTCGGCGGGAACAAGTGTTTTACCTTAACCTCAACATAAAATCAGTGATCTCTATGATTCCTTGTGCTTTCTGTGATTCCCTGTGATTTCTGTGACCCTTTGCCTTGTGATTCCACACTCTTCAAATATCCAGAAATGCTGTAAAATCTGGGTAACTCTGTATTCAGTTGCCTTGGAGAAATTGCAAGTTTTATTTCACAAAAGTCATATTTTATTGTGAAATATAGAAAATAATCCAATGCATGAATTGGGATTGGGGAAGGAAAAAGGAGGGAAGGAAAGAGAGGGAAGGGAAGAGAGGGAGGAGAGGGAATATGTGAGAAAGGGGAGGGGATAAGACAAGTGAGTGCCTATCGAAATCAGAATTGGAAACGAAAATGGGTATCAATTCTTCGAATGAAACTGGACACACGTTATGTACAAGTCGTTTATTGGATATTTAAATGGCAAGTGGAACAGTCCATATTGTGAGTGCCGCGTATCGGCGCAATGTTCGGGTCGGGACTGAAAAATGAGGAATTCAGATTTTAGGGTAGGATTTAAATATCAGATATCTAAATAGCTTGACTCTGAATATGCTGCCCAAGTGCCCGAAACAACTTCTCACACATACTGCATCAGTAATTCTTGGGCTACAGTTTCCTTGGACTTAAGCTATTGACTGTACATCCGCGTCGGCATCTCGCGCGAAGTCTCAGCTTCAGGATAATCAAGGATAATCTAAGCAAGCCTTAATCAAGATTTTCGACTTCTAGGGATCAAAGTATTTTGCTATTTTGTATTTCAATGTTGCTACTTTGTTTTCTTTCCAGCGATGGATCCGATGATGGATGGATATATATATCATATCTCGTCGATGGATCCGACGAGATATGATGCCTAATCTGGCTGACGGCAAGGTTTGGCGTTGGGCCGCCGGCTTGTGACATCAACGGGTCCGAGTGGAGGAGTGAATTGTTCTGTATGCAGAGCATATTAGAGATTTTATATTTAAATCAGAATTTAGATCTTAGGGTTTAGATTTAAATAGAATGGCATCTTTTTTATCTATTATTCCAATCCTACCTCAAGAAACCACTCCGTGATCAAATCGGGGAATGGCCCGTGGTGGATCCCTTGGCTGTCTGGGCGGTCTCTGCAAAGATTAAACTATTCAGAAAGAGTTTTAAGATGTATACATTGAATATTTACTGACCATTTACTGCCTAAAAACTAAACAACTAATTGCAAACTATTGAATGATCATCCAGCTAATAGCTAGGTAAGTATTTGATAAAGTAATTTCTTACGGTAACCGCCGTGGCTTCTACGTTCACTTCTACTACTGTAGCTACTTCCTACTTCTGCAATAAACTTCTACTTTAGTTTCAACTTTGCAACCAAATTGGCCACGCTGCTCCTATTTGATACTAATTTTATCTAAATATTGTAAACAATCAATAGAATATAATTAGACGAAGTTTTGTTTGATATATCTATAACTTCTCCACCTCCATTGTGGCGTCTGATAACCTTGTAGGACTTGAGCCAAAGAATTGGTCGGACCCATGGTAAATCCGTCCTAGCGGGAGGCAATCGGCATCGCAGACGTCGTGTCAGAGAGTTGTGACATAAAACCCGATGAGGACTAAAATAAAGAAAAGAGCAAAATATAGAACATAAATTTAGGGGACCTAGTACTAGTTGCTAATTTTTAGTACCCAATCGGGAGCCGATTGATTGCGTGTGTTCTCGAGGGAGTCAAGAGAGAGTTGAGCAATCGCTTTCAAGTGATCCGCATGGGGTTTGATTTGGACTCTCTTGGATCTCCTGTCTGAATGGTTGAGAAGCGGAGGGGATGGCTGGGAGTGGGGGAAGAACTTTGGTGGGCGCCCTGAGGCCATTCTTTGCCAAGATCTCCTCGAGTTCCTAGAATTGCGTAAAGAAATGGATATCCTTAATCTTTATTTACTCGCTTATAAGGATGATTTAACAGCTATCTACACTGATGAAATATGATATTTGAAAAAGATCGTCACTTTCGCGCGGCTGCAACTCCCTTGTCTTTACCACTAAATAATAATATTAACACTTGGTCAGCCTTGAAAAGACCTTTCAGAAAATGTATACACTCATAGTTGAAACTCAAAGTACTGTATCTGTAGAAAAGATTGAATAGGATAGGGAGCCAAGCCAAGTCATTTTCCTCACTCACCCTGACTCGATCGGCGTACTGTTTCGCAGCGCTTTCCAATTTGTTCTGTTGTTGCTGAAACCGCTTCTTTGCATAGAAGCTTTTTTTCACTTACATATTGACCCTTTTCCAATTGTCGAATGTAGTCACAAGATGCTTTGAGAATCGTCCCTTTGTTCAGCTTCATCTCTCTAAATTCGGCTGTGATAACGCGAAGTAAATATTTAGCGTTTTTTCTTGAAAATTTGATTCTAACTCACTTGGAGGCTTCTTTAGGCAGCAAAAGCCCTAATTCGTTGATGCGGTCTTTGATATTATTGCGACGAAGGCGTTCAACTGAAAAACTCGTATAATAGGTTTAGCAAAACCTCTGAAAAACTTCTGATTTGATTCATAACTATGAATGAAATGGGAAATGAACTCACTCCCATTGTGAATGTCCTTCTTTTTGCGATCATGGTCAAAATCTGGATTATCGGCACTGGGAATGGATCCTTTCGACGAGCCACGTACCTGCAATCAATTCTTCCTCATCAATTTGTTTGACGAAACCATGGAATGAAGGATTTAATCCAAGGGAGATTCCAATAAATGTCTTTCAAGAGCTCGCTTGATTAGGAAAAGTTCAACTTTTATCTCAAAAGGTCGAAAGATGCCCGGAAAGGTCGATTCAAGGTAAGTTCATAAATAATTGCAAATAGGGTGGGGAAAATCGAGAATCGTTCCGTGGATTGGGTGATGGATGAGGCTGGATGAAAGCTAACAGGAAAAGAAAAAAGGCAATAAAGGCAAAAAGGCAAGAAAAGAAAAACTAAGCCATGAAAATAAATTTTTTAAAAATACTTTTTTATCTAATCTGATATTTTTATATGGAAGCTTACAACTGAGGGTTCAGAAAAACCCCTTTACTTAAAAAGTTGTTTTCGAAAAATTTTAGAGTTTTTACAAAAATTTAGGTTATTATCTTCTTAATTTGTTGTGGGGTAATGGTAGTACCACCGAGGAAACCCACTGGATTCCGCATGGATGTTGGTGGAACAAATGTTGGCCGTTGGGCCCTACCGGGCATCATTTACGACTTCTGCTTGACCCGAGTCGGCTCGGATGGTGCTCGCGGATGGATTGGGTGCCCCATTTTTTGAAGGTAGCCAACCAATCGATGAATTGATCAAAAGATCGGGAAAGGGGTGAAGCCTTGAGATAAAGTGATTCAAGAAGACGTGGGGAATGTGAGGAAATGAGACGACCAAAGGGGGGTGAAGGGGAGCCCCTTCCGCCAATTACGCCAATTACGCCGCCAATTACGAACTCTTTGTCGCGATGAAGCTATTGGTTTTCTTTGGGTTTTTGACCAAAATTTGGGGATGAAAACAATAAGTGTACTTATCATTGATGTCATGTCTGACAAGGGAATATTTCAAACTAGGAAAAAGTTCTTTGAAAAGATTTCTTTGGTATAAGCGGTATGATATTTTGAAAATCCTATCCTGACGTCACCCTCAACACTTGAATGGTTTTTAAAGTTTTTGAAGAATAGAACCGGCTCAAAGAAGACCATTAGAAGCTCAAGGCTGGGCTGGTTCCAACTGGAGCGAGCATTCCTCTAGCTGATAATTTCTTTAGCAAATATATTTAAGAAAAATATCATAATCAATCAAATTTGAGCTCATTCATTGAGACTTAAATGATTGCTCGTCAAATCTGACCAGAATTGAGCTTATTGAATAGGAAAAATGTCTGATTTGCGGTAGTTTTATGAATAGATGCCTTTTAGAGGAAGAATTTAAGGCCTGGTTACATCTGAAGCACGATAGTAATTGTAAGGAAAAGATTGACGACAAATATCGCCAAGAAAGGCGAGAGTTCAATATTATTAAAGATTAATGTTTTCAAAAACGAACATGTTGCGGGCCGTGCATTGGCAGATGAATGGGTGGCGGTGGCTGGAGTTGTTGCTGTTGTCGCGGTGTCCGATGAATGGGATTCGATTTCAAATACCATTTTTAGTTCAGTTTTCTTCTTTTCTTCAGTTCAGTTCTTTTTTTGGTCTTATTACTCTCTTTTGTAAACCAAAACCAAAGTGTGACCGTCGCTGTCCCTGATTCTCCTTCGGTACAAATTGTCGTCACTCATGTCGTTGTGTTCGCGAGAACACACAAGTTTGTGATTCAAAGGTTAGCCAAAACTTTCCTTCTTGTTAATCATTTGATTTTAGACTGGAAAGTGCAAGTGTAAAGCCGGTTTCTACGGGCCTTTCTGCAAAAGACCGTGTCCTTTCGGTTTTTATGAACCTTTGGCGAGAAAAGTTGTTAAACTTTACATTCTATCTGTCTTTCCAATCACCTAACTAGCAAGAATCAAATCAAGGCAAGCAATTTAGTATGCAAAGAAATGTTCATGTCCAGATGGGTCCAGATGGCTTCGGTCTCTCATCGCTCCTTTCGCTGAAAATTATTGATTTGCAGAAACGTCCAACTCAGAAAGTAGCCGAAATAAAAAATGATTTTTGATCGATAAGAATTCTCTTAAATGCATATGCAAATTTCAGAAATAGTTTTTTCTTTGTGTTCATGATTTGTGTTATTCAAGTATTGTTGTTTTAGCAATGAAAGCAATAAAGCAATTTTTAGCAATAAAGCAATGTTTTAGCAATAAATGTTCCTTCGGTTGATCCGGTCCACACGCATCAGATGTTTTTACACTCTAGATTTTTTTTTTTTTAAAAACTAGATGTTTTACACTCTAGATTTTTACACTGTTTTTACACTCTAGATAATAGTAAATAATACCTGAATTAGCATAAAATCTGATTCTCTATATTCACCGCTCGTTCGTATGATTAGATCGGGATTCTTTGACCGTCTTGAATCCATGCATTCTCGGGAGGGAGGTTTAAAGAAGATAGAGAGGAACTAAATAAAAACCATAAAGCGGTTTTCAAGGAGCTTAGAAGGAGCTTTATAGGAACCCAGTAGTGACTATAAGGGAGCTTTCAAGCCGTTTTAAAGGAGCTTTATAGGAACTAAATAAGAGCTTCTAGGGAGTTTTGAAGGAGCTTTATAGGACTATAAAGGAGCTTGAATATAAATTAATTTTTCAACAATTAACTTTTCATTAATTGTTGAAAAATAATTTATAGGAACTAGATGAAAAATGAATTTTTGAGCTATTTTTACCATGAACGACTGAGTCCCTTTTGTGGAGCTCTTCTGTTTATAATATCCAGCTAAAAAGCTGGATATTTGCCAGACATGCCTCAAATGTTCTATAGTTTTTGGAAATTCTATAGTTCTTCTTTTTCTCTCGGGTTTGTTATTTTCTTTTGTTTTATAAATTTTGAGATCATACAGTTTTTCTAGAATTTTTGGTAAGAAATGAAGACCATCATGGTTAAATCACTCTCAGACTCAGACCCAAAGCTCAAGTTCAAGGCTCAAAGGTTTGCTATTTTCTTTTGTGTTATAAATTTGATATAAAAAAATACATTTATTGAAAACCAATAATGTGATACAAACAAAGGGTACATAATAAGACATAAAGGTTAAACACACAATTGTATGGCACTGCGGCCGTTCTCACCCCTATTTACCCCTATTACCCAAATGTTGCGAAAGAAAAAAACCCACTTGATGGGAAAAAGAAACATTTTTATCTTGCCAGAGTGATTGAACCCTCGACCTTCTGCTTAAGAGACAAGACTCCTAACCGGTCGGCCATTTGGCCATATCATATAATTTTTCTGAATTTCGTACTTTTCAACTGTTGTTATAAAGGGGCTTTCTAGGAACTAAATAGAGACTGTAAAGGAGCTTTAAAGGGAGCCTTTAAGGAGTTAGTTAGGAACTAAATAAGGACGAGGATAAACGAGCCAGGGAGCTTTAAACCCCCTCTCTACCCTCTCTTCTCTTCCCTACTTCCCTAATTCCAATTAATGCATTGGATTATTTTCTTTATTTCCCACAAACGACTTGTGCATAAGTGTGTCCAGTTTTATTCAAAGATTCCATAACCATTTTCGGTTCCAATTCTGATTTCTATATATAGGCACTAGCTTGTCTGCTCTCCTTCCCTTTTCTCTCATCTTCCCTTCCTCCTTCCCCAATCCCAATTTTTGTGAAATAAAACTCAAAGACAACTGCATACACAACCCCAATCCAACGAGCACATCAATTTCTATTAGGTTTTTATTTTTATCACATACCTGAATATTGACGCTTGCTAATCGAGAAAGTTGAAGGCCTAAAAGCGGAAACTTGACTTGAAAAATTAAAAATTTTACCTTTTTGTTATTCAGAGTTGGCATTTAGCAGCGATCCCGGTTCACAGATGACAACTACGCGCCATTTGGGAAGGAAAATAGTTATCAAATCTTTTTAGGGAAACTGGAAACAATTATGTACAAGCGTTTGTTTGATGATTAAATCGCAAGCGGAGTAGAGCACTAGTTTTGGACGTAGATTGACTCTTTTAAGTTCTCACTTTTTACTTGTAGGGTGCATCTTCAGCCTTCAGCCAAAACGGATCTTTTTTCACAAATGCATTCATAATCCCCATCCCTATTTCGGCACTAGAATTTACATCCCGCATTGTTGCGGGATGTAAATACCTCCCTCATTTTTCTATATTTGGATCTTTTACTTTCTATCTTTCCTATATCTTTTACATCTTTCTATCGTTCTATATCTTTCTAATTTTTCTATATTTTTCTATCTTTTTAAATATTGCTATCTTTCTACATCTTTCTACATCTTTCTACATCTTTCTATCGTTCTATATCTTTCTATATCTTTTTACATCTTTCTATCCTCCCACATCTATATTTTTCTATATTTTTCTATATCTTTCTAGCTTTCTATATCTTGAAAAGGCTTTCAGGCCTGAAAAGGTTACGGTACTGAAAGCCTTTTCAATACTGTAACCCTTTTCAGGCTAAAAGATGGAGGTAGTTGTTTTTATTGGGTTGGAGTTGTTTTTATAAACAAATGAAATAAATTGTTGAATTGACAACCGCAAATGAGCCAAAACTCAAATTGTGTGAAAACAATTATATTTTGATATTCTGAGTTCAAAAACTTAATAGCTGCAGAAGAATTCTTTTAGAACAAATTTATTAAAACTCGAAACTCGAAACTCGACGACATTAACTGACGATAATTTCTAAAAACGAATCAATTTTTGTGAGTTGATTTGCTACACTTTATTTTCGGTTTGTTTATAATTTAATCTTTAGTTATTTTCAATTTTAGAGATGAACGCAGACCGAAAGCTTATCTCCACCCAACATGGCGGCCATAAATATTTTGCAGAAAGACTCGAAGACACAGGACACATCCCTAATCAGTTTGCTTCAAAAAATTTCCACGTGATCACTTGTCCCTCTCAGCTCACGTTTTTGATCGTTTGAATCCGATTTTTTGTTTTAGGTTGTTATCAATCCAGCTTCCATATAAATATAAATAGTAAGATTGGGACTGACAAGGATTTCGATTGCCATCAGTTCACAGCTTCTAACACATACGCCTTCTCTCCTCTTGTCTCGCTCTTCTCTTCGCCGTTCTTCTCGTCTTCAGTGGGTTCAAGTTTAGAGAAATTAATCTTCTCAAAGTTTTATTCAATTAGCGCATTTCTCAGCCTATAAATCAACTTTGGCTTATTAGAAAGATGGCCCAAAGTGCCTCAAAGCTCAAAAGAAATCAAAGATTTTAGCTTGTTCTGCCATGGTGGACGCTGTTGTCGTCCCGGCATGCGACTCCTTTTGTCCAGTGAGTTAAATTCTCAATCAAAAAATATTCTGACTGTTGCTACAAACACCGTTAAACAAGGCCGATAAAGGCTTAGTTTAGGAAATTAGTTTGTCGTCTGAAATTTTCTCAATTCATTTAAAAATGAT